CTGCTGCCCCCGCGACCCGACCCCGGATAGGCGGAAGAAAATGGATGGATGGATGGATGGATGGATGGATGGATGTATCTCTGCTCTGATCATAGATATCCCTGCTCTGATCATAGATATCCCTGCTCTGATGCTCTGATCATAGATATCCCTGCTCTGATCATAGATATCCCTGCTCTGATTATAGATATCCCTGCTCTGATCATAGATATCCCTGCTCTGATGCTCTGATCATAGTTATCCCTGCTCTGATCATAGATATCCCTGCTCTGATGCTCTGATCATAGATATCCCTGCTCTGATCATAGATATCTCTGCTCTGATCATAGATATCTCTGCTCTGATCATAGATATCCCTGCTCTGATGCTCTGATCATAGATATCCCTGCTCTGATCATAGATATCTCTGCTCTGATGCTCTGATCATAGATATCTCTGCTCTGATCATAGATTCTCCTGAGGGACTCTGAGCAGTTTGGTGGAAACCTGTAGCTTCATAAAGTCTTCCTCTGAATGCTGAACTTGCTTCAATCTAACAGCACAGTCACATCTGATGAAACGTTCTTCAACAAATCAAAATAAAGCACATTTTTTCAGCTCATCTGGTTTTTGTCTCTACTCCTTTAACCATCGATCCAGGTTTCACTTGGTCCTGAGCTCTCTGTTCCAGGGTATGCTTGCCTTGGATGGGAACAGCTGAACTGGACTGAGCACCAGTCATCAAATCCATCTCTAAGAAGACTCAAAGAAAGGTGAAAGCTGTGTTGAGCATGTTTGAGGTGCAGGTTGGGTTTCACCAAGACTGTTCTTTGTCTCAAATCCTCACTTTGGTCTTCATAAACAGGATCTCAGTTGGTAACTGRAGGGAGAACGGGGTCTGGTTTAGTAAACCTCAAAGTCTCATTGCTGTTTTTGCAGATGATGTGGTGATGTTGATATCTTCCAACCATGAACTTCAACATGCACTAAATTTGATTTTTTTCCCACCATTTTGGACAAATGTAACTAGAACATGTGATACTGAACAAGTTCTGGATCTTCTCATCCTTGTTGTCCTCCTTGTCTTCCATCTTTGTCCTATGWTCTCATCCTTGATAGAGAGGAACGTTGGTTTGAGAGAGGAGTAAAGGAAGCCATTTTTGTGAAGAAAAACCGTCCACCATTAAACAGAGGTGGAGGCCTCCGTTTTCAGTTGTCCTCCTCCTACAACGCTGTTATTGTAAGTATGACTCCGCCCCCTGTG